GACGCTTCACCGTGTTGAAGGCCTTGGCGCTGCTGATGTCGGACTCGGCGCTGCTCTCATCCTTCGCCATGAACTTCATGAGCACGGTGATCAGCTGGTGGACCGTCTGGTGATCAATCCCAGCATCTTCCGGCAGCAGATCCTTTACTGTATTATCATTCTCTGGGGAGGGTTGGCCTACCAGTACAACAGAAACACTGGTGTTATTCTGCCCATTTTTGTTTTCTCATGTTTAATAAAGCTGCTGATCTTCCCATCCCAGTACATCTCTGCTAAACTGTGCAAACATTCCCTCATATCAATGTGAATTAAAAGCAAAGTAAATTCCATGGTCACCAAATTCTCATCTAGAATAGCTTTCATACTTTCTCAGCAAATATTTGTGGACATAAGTCTTTTCGTTTTCATTCCCCAGACTGTTAAAGATTTTTTACAGTGTTTCCATGTACTTTTAGAACTGTGTATTATTATCAGACTCCTTTAGTATTTGCTTTTAGAAGTATCATCTTCTATCTCACCCTAGTGTAAGTCTTTTTATATTGCTAAAGATCATTAACGCTTAGCAGTTCTTAAAGTTCTGTGCTATACTAAAAATAGCACCTGAATTCACAAAGAGTAATTTCACACACGAGTGTATCAGGTTCTTTTTTATTAATGATGAAGACGTGAATGGCTACAGTGCAGTAACTAATGACAAATGATCTGTTAAGCAGTAGTTTAGATAAAATACTTCTCTAAAATGCACTTTCAGTAGAAAAAATAACAAAGAAGGAAAAATGCTCTTTGGGACAACATCAAAAAGAGGAGACACTTGAAATTTCAGTTCTTAAATACACCATTAAATTAATTTGTTCATAAAATACCATTACCACTAATCGGGTAATAACTTTGAGTGTTAATAAAATTTATTCTAAGAAATTTTCTGTTCTGTGGTTAAAATTTTGTTTAATGACAAATAACTGTGAAATTTTAATTAGCAGTAGTAAGTGCTGCACAGGAAGAGAGGAAAAAGCATTTGCCTTCTGTTTTTCAAAGCATTTATGATAAATCTAAAGCACACTTTCAGACTTCTTCGTATCAGTGATTACAAGGTACTTAAAACTTTTATATATATGTATATACACATATTTAATCTACGCATTTTACTGAAAATTGAAATTTCCTGTTCAAATAATTACCCAAACCTGAAAACTCAGGTTTTAAAATAGAAAACATGTCTAATAAAATCACAATGGTTGAGAATGTCTAATGTGAGACTGACGCTTCCCATGTAACAGATTTCTTTAACCTTGACAGAATCATACTACTAAATAAAGAACAATCATTCTGTCTCATATCTGCTCTTCACATCTTTATTTCATTTGCTTTTTCTATGACACTGTGACAATATGCATATATGTTCTGTAAGGATGGGTTGATTACCAGCTCTCTATGGACTGTTATGATGGGGCAACAAACAGTGTTAATTCAGATACTCTCCTAATCCATTTTTCATGTCAAAAGTTAGTGCCTATGTGGGCAAAACATACTCCTGTTCAACCCAGTGTACCCAGTAAACTGTGCATTTGTGTCTGTTGAGAATATTGCAAGCCCTGAAGAAAGAAATGAAAAGATCTGAAACTGAGATTTTCACTTCCAGATGTTCAGTGTATACAGGGCTCAAGCAGAGCAAGAAATGTCAGCACTGATCATTATTTAGAGATTACATACTTACTTGGGCCCTGCTGATCTAGCTATTCAAAAAATGGTTGACAGAGGGGCTGCATCTTCACAAAATGTTGTCAGTAAATAAAAGCTGGATGGATGACTATAATAAACTCAGGGTGGCTATAAGTATACAGAGGAAACAACTGCAACTTATAGTACCTCCATTCAAAAACATTTTGTTTACTCGTGCTTTCACTTGAAGGTGAAAGATGAACCTGATCATAGGTTACTCACTGGGTTAGCACACTTAGGATTTACTAATTCCTATAGGAAATGAAACACAGCAGGGTGAAACATTAGCAGAACAACTGACTTCTCTGGATAATTTCCCCAGGCATGAAGTACTATTTACAAAGAGGGGCAGTTTTCAGTACAGAACTAGAATAAAAAAAAGTTTTTATCTAGAATTAAAAAAAGTAATAAAAGTTTACACTTTGTAGAAATATCTTGCTGAAGTTTACCTTCTGAGTTTGCAAGAAAGCCATGGCTAGTGCCTTGTTTTTTCCTGTTCCATCAGAACATCCCCCTTTTCTAACCTACCTGGTGTTTGGTCTGGTGTCCCACCAAGGGCTGGAGCAGACTGCTCATGTCTGGTCAAGCTGACAGCTTAAAGAAAAAAACAAAACAAAACAAAAAACACCACAATAACAACAAACAAAAGAACAGCTCGGTTTACATAAGCAGCATATACCATATCAGCATATATTCATATATTCACCATATATGCATTCATTTACTCATGCACTGTTGTCAGGCAGTGAGTGTAACTGTTCAAAACATGTCACTTTTGTGCTCTATAGATTTTATGCACTGTGTTCTCTAATTCTAGTTTTCTTCATCATTCAGTTTTGCTGGTACAAGAGTCAACACACAGGAACATCTGTGCAGAATCAGAAGCTGATTGAGAAGGATTACATATAAGTCCCAAAATATGGTGTCATCTGGTTTGGAAAAAAGGAATTACCTCAGTAACTTTAGCAGTTCATTAGTACCCAAGATTGAATGCTGTTGTAAGGATAGGAGCAATGTCTGGGGTCCAATTTGAATGCTAGACTAATGAGCATTTGTAAAATTCTCGAAATGAGAATAGTTAAGTTTTACTTTTGCTTGGGAATTATCTGTATAGCTCTCCATACAGACCTATGATTTTCCAGAGTAATTGTTCTGTGAATGATATATCTATTTTATACAAGATTACTGTGTATTAGCCACAATAAAAAAGTAAGATCTGATCAACTAGCCTTAGAACATTTTGTTCTGGTATTTTAAATAAAGAGAGCATAGACCTAATGTTTGTCTATGTTCTTCGTCAAACTCACTGACACTAACTTGACATTATTCGAACAATGTCCAAGTCAGTCAGAAACCTAAATTTGCTTTCCCAGCTGGACAAATACTGACAATTCCAATGAGTTCCCAATAATAGGATACAATCCTAAGGGAGAAGATACAGGTGTGTCACAAAAATATAAACAGATACTCAACGAATTTTGGTGGTTAAGGTTTCTGGAAGGGAGAGCGCTCTCTTTGACTCCACTGGTCCCTTCACACTGTCCCTCAGGGAACGCACACTCTTCTGACGATTACGTGCGAAACGAGCCCTCTTGATCTTCCACATTGCTGCATCACTGAGGTTGGCGACATTTGTCCGGACAGCAGTGATAGCTTTGCAAATGCAATTGACCAAGTTAGGATTCATTCCACAGCACGGCAAGGCCCTAATGCTGCCAAGTGCCACGTGCAAATGGGCCCCAGGTCCCATTGAAGTCAAGAACGCTTCATACAGGTTCAAGGGGTCCATCTGCAAGGAACTCATTCGCATGCGTTCAGTCTAGAACCTGTAAAACCCCAAACCACATAAGTGTGCTAAAAATAAATAAATAAATAAATTGCTGTTCCTTCTTTATTTAGAGATTGGACAAAACTGGACTCTCGAACTCAAAACCTGACCTTGAGAGTAAGGGAGTATAGGGTGCCCTCTATTTAAAATGGCAGAAGCTTCAAAAGTTTGGATTACATCTAGTGCACTCATATCAAAACGTTGCCTTTAGTTCTACCTCAAATGGAAATTCTGTCCTGCCTATATCTATCATCCTGATCTGAACAGAGTTTTCAAAATCCTGTGAGTATGGTTATACTTTTCCAGTATTGTTACCAGTAGCATCAGTGCATCTATCTCAAGGGAGTCACTGAAGCTTTTCTATATTCATGCCTGTGGCACATTCGAAGCCTTGGAATTTTATTACCTGAGTCACCAAAGCTGGTGACTCCATCTTTTGAACCACTTATAGAAAGGACAAAGAGAAAGGTAATTTGAAAAGTATCTTATGTGTTTCAAAAATTAAATGCTCTCAAATATTTTTACTTAAAGATGCGGCCCTACACCTGCAACTAGAGGGGCTATCGACCACTGCTGAGATTGCCTTCTCAGGACACAGCAATAGAATCATAGAATCACAGAATGGTTAAGGTTGGAAGGGACCTCTAGAGATCATCTAGTCCAACCCCGCTGCACACGCAGGGTCACCTAGAGCACGTGGCACAGGACTGCGTCCAAGGGAGTTTTGAAAATCTCCAGAGAAGGAGACTCCACAACGTCTCTTGGCAACCTGTTCCAGTGCTCTGTCACCCTCACTGTTAAGAAATTTTTCCTTAAGAGCTCCAATCTTTGGGCCAAGCTAACCATATAATAGGGGGAAAATATGTTTGCAGCTCCATCCGTTTCCTAGATGCATGCAGCAGCATCACCTGGGCTTTTTTATGCACTGGACTTCACGCAAGTGCAAGAGGAGTCATTAGGCTGTTGATGGAGCAGATGCTATCCAGACAGCTGTTCCCCATCTCCTCCAAGCAAGTCAGATGCAAACAGAACTGGCTCATGGCCACCACTTGAGTGAGAAAACTTGTAATTATTCAGCATGTTAAACAAGCATGCACAGGTTATTATTTTAGTGCCTCCCTCCCCAGTGAATGGAAAGAGATATGAAACCTCATCAAGAAACAAAATATGGACAGTACAAACATTTACAGAAGTTCGTCACCAGTCCCTGCCAGAACAGTTAACCAAGACGCTGCTCGGTGCCAAATATCTCATGTCATGTCCCATGCATCTTTTGTGCTTTGGGGAACATGCAGTTCCTAGGTCTGGGATCATACCTTCCCCTGGCTTTTACAGAACTGGGTCAGGCATAATCTAGCCCTTTGGGAATAGTAATGTTAACAACCTAAGAACTACAAAGGAACAAATAGGTTAATGTAGGTTGAAGCTGATTCATAATAGAACCAGATCATGTTTCAGCAGGGCTGGGAATCACATTCTAGTGAGGTAAAAACACAGTGCCCAGATTTGCAGTGGAATATATCCTAATCTGCATTTGGGTAGTCAAAAAGTGTTTACTTTGAGTTATTCTCTTTTGGCCTGAAAGATTAGTTAGTTCCATCAAGTTTATGCAGGTGAGGCCTATATACCTCTCATACCCTTGCAGACAGCTGAAATTCCAGCAGCTGATAAAAGGCGATTAAAATTATTTGGTTTCTGCTTACTTGTTGGGAAAGGGAATTCTTTGTTGCAGTCCAGATGAAGCTGTGCTTCCAGAGACAGGGTCTCAAAGCGATTCACAAAGAACTCCCAGCTCAAAGCTGGGATGTCTGCCTTTAGAAAATGAAGTAGCAAAAGCTTACTAAGAATTGTGGGCCTGTCCTTAACAACTGTGTCAAACTGGAAATCAAGGCAGAGGCAGAGACCCTGTGTAGAGAGAAAAAAAAATAGAACTGAGATAAGACGACTTCTGTGCTTTTAAAGCTATGGGATGTCAAAGATCACAAGTTCCATCAACTATTACAGGACAGAGGTTTAGCTCTTTTTTTCTAGCGCTCTCAAACAGGAGCAATGTTATCAATATCAGCAGAAAAGTAAGGTGAATTCACCACAAGATGGTGAATTTTGTACATTGATTTTGAATACAAAGGCATATACAAAATTCGGCCTGAGCATTTGGTTCGCACAATCACAATTTAACAACATTTACAGCAACAGTTCAAATGCCACAGTAATCTTTTGAAACCAAAGTTGGGGTTAGGACAGTATCATTTCCTACGGCTATTTTGTGTTTTTGTCAATTATCACAATTCAAAAGACCTGTCTTATGACTTATTAATAGTGATGATGATACTATACACCTGAATCCCCCTGAACTCTGGGTCAAAATTCTGTTTCCTGTTTGAGCTTTCCTATTTTTTTTGTCTCATATAATGAGTATACCTGTAAGGCAGGCCTCTTTATGGTGTCTAGTAGTAGTCCAGCTCTTGTAGCTACTGCTGGGTTGACATCTTCCACAGCAGTCAGGAAACAGCAGAATGCATGAGCCAAAGAATACTTCAGTAGGTGGTTTTTTGTCACAGAGTGAATATCCAAAAACCTGCACAACACAGCCACCTTCTCCACTGCAGCAGCCACACCGTGAGACAAAGTAAATGTTCATTTTAGTTTAGACAACTTCTTTATGTCCTGATTAAAACGCAGATATTTTTAGGAGATGCATATCAAAAAGCGAAAACAAAAAACAGCTGGCAAATATGACTATGAATTTGATCTTATTTTAATTATCCAGAATGTCTCATGTTCTCCTCTATTCTTCTGCCTTTTTATGATATGGTATCTTGCTATGGTAAACTATCTCCAAAACTCCCCAAACCAGCAAAAAGATAACCACCAATTACAGTTCTCCTCACTTATAGTTGGGAAAGCTCTACGTCTTCAGCAAAGCAACAAACACACCAACAGCCTGCAATTCCCAAGCCTACCTGCTTCAAATCTCATCTTCCAATCTTTGCTGTTGAAATTGCTGTTTATGATTGTCCAGAAAATGTCAGCTCCATGGGGAAGTGAAAGTGCATGGAGAAGAAGTGGAACTGCCAGGGAAGAAAGCTGAGAGAACTCAGACTTCACAACTCCCCACAAGCTGCAGAAAGCAAAAACAGCAAGTCTGCTTATAAAAGCAATCCTTTGGCATCCTTTCTTCTAAATGGCCAAACTGTGCCGGGCAACATGCTCTTCATGACAGCCTCTATGAGCCATCCTAAGCATTCATGTGAACCCTACAGTTGCTGGTAGGAGAACACTTACTGACTGCAAAACAACTGGTGCAGAATACCAAGATGTGCATGACATCCTGCCCCTAGTAGTGATGCTTTTGCATCTGCTTATAGTTCGTTGGCCCCCTATGGCTCCATAGTTTCCAAGAATAAGTCTCAGTTGTAGATTGCGCTACAAAGTGTCTGAAAGTATTAGTATTAGAGTCCATAACTGGCTCAAAATGCTATGTCTTTGAACTTCAGACTATCTTCTGAAGCTATTTCCAACCTAATTTATTCTGTTATTCTGTAATTTTATGGTTCTAGAATCTTTTTTCTAGCAAAAATGCTACCTACAAAAGGCCTGAAGGAGAAGCTCAGTGAGTTCGAATCTTATCCCCCTTATAGCAAAACATCTCAAATAGACACAGCAGAAAGAACTGAGCAAAACCGAGACTTATTTTCAGACAGATTGAGGGTAAAATGAAGTGCTGATCAAAATCTTTCATTAAAGCCCATTTTTCCCATTTCTCTGATAAAACCTTATTAAATTGTAAACTCTTGTATGTCACATCCAAGAATGCAGAGTTAGAATCAAAGTATGAGCAAAATGTGTGATGGCCTACCTTGCAATCAGCATATGATTCTGAATATAGGCTAGAAATTGTGGATGGTCCTTTCTTGCTATATACAAGCATTCTCCATGAAGACACAGGATCTTCAGGCAGTTCAGCATATTAAAAAGAATGTCTGGCTCTTCAAATCTTGACATTTCCTGTGCAAACAGATGTACTACTCTCAACACAGTGAAACCACTAACCAAAATTTCAAATTTAACAAATAACCAATATTACCTGCAGTATAGTATATATAAGCTTCAAGGTAACTGGGAGCTGCTGATAACAAAATTTTCTTTCCGTGTCATTTTTTATAGCTGTTAAAATGGAAGTTACATAACCTGTTGTTAGAGTATAGCATTCAAAGTAAAATTAAAGGATATGAATGGGATAAGAGATAAATAAATTCTACAATAAGATAAAACAGCAAGAAATTTAGTATTTTTGCTACATTAAATGCTTAATATGCTGAAAGAAGAGCATCTTTCGAGAGTCAGTCTGGTTTGCTACCAACAGAATACAGCCCTCCCATAAAATTAGAATGCTGGAAGTACTAAATGCATTGACAGTGTACTGCTGGATTTGAAAGACTGCTTGTAAAATGTGTACTCCTTTGAGAGGTGTCCCATTTGAAGCCTTACTGAAAACTCCATCCCTTCTCATCCTCAACCTACCAGTATTTTCTGTGGTCTCTGTGTGATTTCCTGGGTTTTCTCCATGTTTTGGTGCTGATTTATCTTCCTCTTCTCCTTCAGTTCCTATAATAAACTCAGGTCTAGTATACAGAAGACTATCCTCAAGGTTATCTGTGGGCTCCTTTAAGAACATAATAAGTTAAATTCATTTCTTGATGTTATCCAAATACAACAGGCCAAATCCTGCTGTTTAAGTTATACTGCATGTGAAAAAAAAGCCCAAACAAGGCAGAAACTGTCACTGTCTCTGACACTTTTGCATTTAAATCACTTGCATATTTAAAATTTTGCATTGGCAAATGCATGTTGATTATGAGACTATGTATATATGGATTTACAAGACCCTAACAGAATTGTGTATCCATATTGGAGCTGAGGAGAATACAGTCAGAGGCTCGAAGTTTCACCAGGCTTAGCATGCTTGCCTTGGAAAAGTCACTCCATTGCACAGAGAGCAGATATTCCTTTTGCGCTATACACTTACAGGCTTAGAAGCAGATGGCATCTCAATCACTCACATTGAAAAACAAAATATAGTCCTGGGTTACTTCCCCTGCATGTGCACAAGAACTTAGTAATACAAGTGGCTATTGCTACTGTTATGCTATAAAGCCTCAACCACTGAAGAGGCCTTTCCAATTGAGGTCGGAATCTGTACAGGAAAGGGCATGAGATGACCTTTCTAGAAAATGTTACTGAATACTGTGTCCACAAAATGGACAAATCATTCATCAAAATGGAATTCCAAACTATTACACATCAAGAGGATCACTGTACCCACCACCAAAAATGACTAAAAGAACCTGTTACCACCACATCACCTGCCATAGTAAGTCATTAGCATGAGAGGAGTGATGGTACTTTCTGAACTGTCAGATTGAAGAGTAGATATAATACATATTCAGATGGAAATAAATTCTATGAAATAAAATAAATTCATCACACTATGGGTACTGTTTAAAGTCATATGTGGCTTTGCAGAAAAAGTAAGTGTGACTAACAGCATTTGGCTGAGATTTCCATGTCTGATAAAGCTGGATACTCAAACTGAAATATTTCAGGAAAATCTACATTTTCAATAATCAAGTACCAAATAAGTTTTTCAAGTTTCCCATTTGAGAAATAATTCAAAAATCTTTCTAAATCAATATTCATCTGAGAATAACCACCCAGCTTTTAAAACAAGACGAAAAGAACTAAATATGATCATTGCACATTTCACAGACAATATCACAGTAATGTCCTTTCAAAGCGAAGCAGCACTTCAGCATTTATTTTACTGAATTAATACTGTAATTTCCTTTGTATTCTTGCTTTCAATATCTCCAATTCAAACCTATAAGGTTTTACAGTTCAACAGTATTTTTGCTTTTACCTCTCAAACGCTCCATGGCAAAGGTCAGTACAACTTTGTTCTCTCATGCACAATGTAATAAGCAAAACTAAGACCAAGAGCTTCAGCACACCACTAATATAGGCCTTTGTTTGTTCTACTTACCACAAGTCTGATTTCTTCTTTTGGAGCAAGCTGTTCCAGCAGCTCAAAACCCAGCTGGTAACACAGTATACTGGACTGACACAGACCACATTCAACTGCTTTTTCATCTTTTTGACAGGTGTGGGAACCACCCCAGGGTGCCTGCAGCACATTGTTTATGATGGAAATTATATCTTTTGAAATACTATTCTCTAAGCCCAAAGTGACACCATCATCTTGGAGTTCCATCTGAAAAAGAACAAAAAGAGTAAGGATTAATCATTTATTTAAAGGCCACAGGTCTGACTAGCCTGCTAATTCCTACATTTCCGATGCTGTTAAAATACAGTACTGGGAAGAGTTTGAGATAAATTTGAGTTCACAGTTTCAAATATAGCCACTGATGCTGTGGCACAAATTTTAACAGCTAAAGTAAGATTTTCAAAGCTAAATAGAGAATTTCAAGCAGAGGATCCAATAATTTTACCTGAAGATGGTTATCCAAACAATCCATCCAAACCTGGGCTTGGATTCACAATGAATAAATTTAGCTATTCAAATACTACGCATTTAAAGGAAGTCTATTACTATGCCTCTGCCTGTAGTTTTTAGAAATATATCTCCAAAGGGCAGCTCATTTTAATCATACGAGATATCTAACACAGTGTAGAGGCATCCCCCTTCTCTTTATTGACCATGAACACAAAACTTGTTAAAGTAAAGCTGATGAGAACTGTAGAAAGCTTTGAATGTCTTGTACTTTATGCCAGTCTTCAGCTGAAAGGGAATGAGTACAAGTGACTTAAAAAAACTTTAGTGTCCTTTAATACATTTATTTTTCTTCTATAAGTACCTGCTTCAAGATGAGATCAAACATAAGTATGAAGCAATTAAGATTCATTTCATCATCCTCACAGTCAAAGTCAATAGTCTTTCCACTGGGGTGTCCAAAGTTTTTGAACGGGCTGTGAAAAGGACTACGTAACGGACTGCGAAACGGGCTCTGGAAAGGGCTTGGGAAAGGACTCAGCATGTTGTGCTGGACTCTGCGTCCAGGGTCAGAAGCAACGCTTACCTGAGATCATTAAACAAAAAAACAAGCCAAATGAATGTTAAGCATTCAAGCAAACTCATTCTATATGAGACTATGGCAAATGACAAGAACTTTGACAGCCTTATTCCCTTTTATAGCCAGCTTTTGTAAAACTTAAAAGTGTCCATTAATGCCATTAAATGCTAGAATATGATAAAGTACAGAGGTCACACGGATGCACAAATTCTTTTAAGTTAAATAGTTGACATCCATTAACTCCACTAAGGAGGAAATTTCGCAACAGTTGTCCAAGTTGTTGATGGCAGTGAATAGAACATACAGAGGTTGAAAATGAAACCAAGGCAAACACTCCAAATATATACCCAACCAAACAGTTCACTGAGAAAGACTGTGTCGTTAATTCCTATCTGCATTATTTTTACACTGACCAAGTAAAGAGAAGTATTACTACAAGAGGTCTTTTTAATTCTTCATACATTCTATTACGAAAACTGTTCTAAGAAAAAAAAAAAAAGAGAGAAAGAAAAAAAGTATAAGAGATTACCCTCCGAGCTGCCAGATTTCCTGACAATTCACTGACTCTTGATTTTCTTTGATTTGCTAACTCTTTTACAGAATTAACTCCATCAGAAAACATGCTGATTAGTAACTGAAGAGGGACAACAATGTCTAGTTCAGAGAGCACCTGAAGAAAGACAATAATGAAAAACAGCATCGGTTTTCAAATGTGATTAAAAAAATTACTTTTAGAAGCACCTCTATCACACAATCCCCAGTTCAGCAAGTTTTGTGCAGTTAATTTAGGAAGCAACTAATATGATTGGGAGTCAGTGAGGTGAGCTGTGAGCTTATGTTTCAGTTAGAATCAGGGCAAAAGAACTAGCAGAGCAGTGTGTTTTAAAAGCATTTGTCTCCTTTATGCTACTTGAGATAGCTTTACGAGTAAACACACAGGTGTCAGAGCTTGTTCAAGAAAAGGTTTCTATGAAGCCAAAATATTACCAACACTTGGATAACTATTTATTATCTTTATTATTTCCCAATACTGAATTCCTGAAATTATCCTAAGAATCCAGTCGAGGTGGTTGCTACAAGCTTTAATATACTGAGAAGCCTGGTTATCTACAAATCACTGAGGCAATATTAATCATCTATTTTGCCAGCAACAAATAAGCTCATTTGTACTTGCCAAACTGTTACTAGTAGCAAGCAAAATCTACAGAAATCATACCTTACTAGAAAATTTTGCATATAGGAGAATAGCTACGATCATTGGGTAAATTGCTCTTTGCAGAGACTAGACCAAAATATCCCTCAGCAGACCAGAAGTGATAATGAGCATTATAGTTATTATTCCAAGGACTAGTTCTGTGGAAAATTTCATGTTCTTTGGAATGTCCTTCCCCTAAAAGACACTTTTTTTCCTGTAGCTTTTGCATATGAACATTGGATGAGCACTAGCTTTGTGGACAAATATAGCACAGGACACCCAGAGCAGAAAGCCTGATGAGTCCAGAGCCATCCAGTTGCCTGTAAGTGAGAAAGACTCCAATTGCTTCTGGAGCTTGGCACTAATTTTGGAATATACAGACCACATTGTGGAGAGACTAAAGAGCTCGGCTGGCAATAAGCCAGAGAGACCTGACACAAGTGACATTCGAAGGTCAAAGAATGTCACAATTTTTCAGTATATTGTCTGTGATGGGTTGGTAAAACAAAACTTCCCAGAAACTATCTACATATCTACATTGGGCCCAGACAAAAAGCAGAAAGGTTTCTACATCCTTGAAAAAGAGGCTCTTTTTTTCCTCAAAATCCTAAGCTGCTTCAGCATGACCTGTCAAGAAAGAACACTTACATGCAGCCAAAGCAGTGCTTGCTCTTGCACAGAGGATGGATAACCTGTGAATCGACAACTAATGAAGCCAAACATCTCTTCCATAGAAAAAGGGAGAGGACAAAGTTCAATATCAAACATTTTGCTGAAAATAAGAAGAAAGATATAGGATCATTGAGTTGCAACATATGCTAAACTGACAGAAAGTCAATCTTACTGCCAGCAATAGGGATGCTTCTGTCACCTTACAGATATATCCCTTACTTGCAGCCTTACTTTCCAATGAGCTAGGTTGCTCATACTATCTGTGTGGGCTGCACGAGGTCACTCCTCACCTGGGTGGTGCCCTTTATGAGATGTATGATTTGAGATGTAATGTACACATCTCAAATCAGGCCCAGTCAGGCTGTGCAGGTAACTCTGGGGAAAACAGTTGAAAAAAGGATTTTCTTTTGATAGGAAAATCTCTTTCAAAACCAAAGGTATGGGAACATTTCTCATCTCACCACATGTGCAGGTAACTCTGGGGAAAACAGTTTAAAAAAGGATTTTCTTTTGATAGGACAATCTCTTTCAAAACCAAAGGTGTGGGAACATTTCTCATCTCACCACGCATCCGCTATTCCTTATGTATACTGTAATTGCTTACATCACCTCCTGGAAGTACAAACCTACAGTCAGCTTCAGGACCTTTAAATCAGTCAAGGCAATGTAAATTTGTATTGCAAAAAGGAGAACACCAGACAGGGAATTATGAGTCAGTCAGCCACCATTCTCATTCTGGTGCTTTTCTTGCTCAGCAGGGGAAAGCATTACCTAAAATCACCACAGTTTACCACTCTTCCTGTGCCAGCTCTGCAGAGCTGCTCAACAGGCACCAGGCTTCTGCTAATCCCCACCTTTTCACATCAACTGCTGCCCAAAGGAGAAAGATGTTTCCTCCATCACACTGCAGGAAGCCACTGAAAATGCACCTCACTCTTAATACAGATTCAAGGATATTAAGAGGAATAAAGGAAAGTCTTCCCAAAACTTAAGTGCTCTAAATAGAAGCACGAGTGATCTAAACAGAATTCATGAATGATTCAGCGGCATTCACTTGCTACTATCTACTGGATTTGAGAAAGCAGTCTGAACGGCATTTTTATTTTATTATCATTATTTTATTGTGCTAACACCCTGTGACATATACACACAAAGAAAGGCTCTACTTACCTGAGCACTTCCCGGAACTCTTTCAGTTGATTATCAGGCACTTCTGTCCTTATAGCTTCCAACCACTCTGGCATAATACACTCCCATACTGGCTGGCTTATCACATTGTACGGAATCAAGCAAAGGATTCGATTCAGACCTTCTTTTAACTGGGTCACAGCACTACACGATTTGTCCCAGTATCCACCAACCTGTGGGTATTTCCAGCAATCATACTGATGAGTGATCACTCTATCCACATTATTTGTTCAGCACCATAAATTTGCTCAGTGTGCTGCAGCTAAGAAACTGTGGGGGATGATCATCAGCACCTTCAAGACAGAATTTAGAAGTCGTCCATGGGGACTGCACCAATTTTCTTCTCTTTATTTTGTCTCACAGAGCTAGAGGACTGTCCAAAATCTAAAATAAGTTTGTTCCCTTCCCTCATTGTCTACACTTCTCAGTGCCGGACAAGTTTACAGCTTGGACAAACTTGCAGTTTCATTTATTTGCTCTAGTCCACTAGTTAATGTTGAGTCTTCACACTGAAAAACCGGGCCTGTATCATATGGGGTTTTTTAAAATGTTTTTTCTTTGAAGGAAGATTCTAAGTGGTGGAACCCAAAAATATATACTTCTAAGTAAATACATATCTGACCTACAGAGATTAATTATTTTAATAATCTCAACTCATCTTTGCTATTCCTTACTAATGGCTCTAGAGATGCCTTCTACTTTGGCAGCAGCCACTGTTTTTTTCAACCAACAAATTATTTTGTCTCCGCTCACCATAGCTAATTTCATGACTGTTCACCCTTATGTTCTATTTTACCCTTGCAAATCTGACATGTTGTCAAGTCTTAAGTATTGCCATGGGGGTAATAAAAAATCCAAAGATATCCAAGATAAGCAAAAGATCCACCAGAGACTATACAGCATAAGGTTCAGTGATTTCTCTCCTCTAGCTTTAAAGCCCAGACCTCTTTTCTTCACTTCTCATACCCACTGCATCCATCCATTTCTCAAATCCCTTCACTTCACTCCAATATCCACCCACAAAAGAGGTCTATCTTCACAGCAATGGTTCAGGGTAAACACATATGCACCAACACATTAATTTATGTAGAATTCCTGAATCCATACTTCTCCCCTGATGATGTAATACATCACAGCAAGATTTTATGGCCCCTCCTAGTATGGTCACTTAATTATAGAGAAAAAAATAAGATGTCCACTAGATATTTTATTTACAGAGCTTGTAAAATGAAAGTCTTCCCCAATTTTACAAAAGCATATGCAAAATAGATGGTAGGGATAACTGATGCAAAAGTCTTAACTTGCTAAGACTTGGTTATAATTATTAACTTGCCAAAAAAAAAAAAAAGTTAAGCTACTATTTTCATGATGACATTAAGTTTTCAATAGAGGAATACTGAAAATATGCCCAAACTTTGATGGGCATCTTTGCTATCTAAGCTAAGAAGGTAGTTCTGTTTTACAGCTAGGGAACAGAAAGACTCCTTCGAAGCATGATTCTAGTAAAGGACTTCTCAAGTATCCCGAATAACCCTCCAGCTTAGCCTCTATCCCTCTCCATCAACAAAAAGGCAAACCAAGGCACTCTAGTCTCATGAGACACTTAATTTAGGTGCCTGAACAGAATGATTTCATTAGCTTTAATGTACAATTGCAGACAGATGGTATGCAAAGAGCAGAGCAACACAGATTTGTAAGTAGAACAAGCAAAGGACAGGCTCACACCTGGTAACAGAGAAACTCAGCCTATTTCTTAAGACAAGTTGGGATTTTTTTTAATCTTTGAAGAAAAATTATGAATCTTCGTATAAATTATTCTTACCCTGGCAAACTCCATTGGTTTGGGAAGGAGGCACATAACCATGACATCAAACCGGACATCACAAACTGTCTTCAACCACTTGGTAACAAACTGGGGTTTAAGCTTTTCAACCAGGCTACCAACTTCATCATCCATCATATAAGCTGTAGAATGAAACCACTGGAAGACCATACTAACCAGCCTTGCTAAACTCTCTGTGGGTGTATTTTCACTGGGAGTACAAAGGCTCACCTGGAGAACAGAAACACAAACCAAATTTAATTTCTAGAATAAAGGTGGGAAAAAGTTTTTGTGTACTACGTTTTTCACATTCTGAGATACCAGGATGCAGATTACATAGTAGGTAATTGAGCTGATCAGTTTTAGGAAGAGATTGGTGCAAGATTATTGACAAAATATTTTCATAATCTGAAAAAAAAATATTTGAAAAAGTTAAGTATCAAATTTCTTTATTAATTTCAATACTGAAAATATCAATGCAGAATGCTTTGACAAACTGTAACGGTAACAGGCTTAAAAATGGCTTTTCATTTCAAAGTATATAATATTATGTCCAGAAGGAGGAAAAAAAAAAGAACAAAAGAGAGATTATGTAAAAATTAATGACAGGCCAACTGAAATGTTTCAAAGTTTGAAAGAGAACAGTTTGTTGGCAGAATAAAAGAATTCTGCTTTGCAGAAATGATTCTGATTTTGCATTTTTGTCCTCATGTGGAACAAGAATGAGCTGCAAGTTCTGAAAAATTCTTGCAGTGATTAACAGTATTCTTCCTCCTTTCTCTAACCTCACTTTTTCCAGAAAAATGTCTGTGCCGCAAAAGCAGCCCACATCCAAGCCCAAGCCTGTATCCCAACTCACAGACAGGTACATTGCCAAGTCTGCTGTTTGAGTTTGTGGTACCTTCTGGGGCCAGGAACCTTTCAAGGCAGCTTGCTGTATTGAATCCAAAGTGAGCATTAACAGAATAGCAAATAACAAACAGGAGATTTAGGAATTGTCTTCTAACCACTTCTCAGCTGCTAGGTGCTACTTCCTAGTGACTGCTGTATTCCGAGCAATTGGGAAGTTGAAAGCAATGATTGCTGCATTGCAGCAAATGAAGAGAGAAGAAGCATTCATATCATTTCATGGAAAACGGGTTACTGTGATGCCTCCCAGAGAAGACCAGGACCCTTTTCACCAGTGCTTTTCCTTTATGTTGAGCTCTGTTCAATTCCTAGATGAAAGGTATTTGTTTAATGGGGTAAAAAAAAAAGGAAAAAAAAAAGAAAAAAAAAAAACAGCATAACTCACTATTTATTATTAAATGTGCTATCATATCTGCCATTACTCCTTATGAAGAGATCAAAGGATGTCATAAGCAAAGAATGAATCAGTGAGCCATTCTTCTTGCCACAGAAAGATATTCTTAGTGTTAAGGATGAGACATATTACGAATACAGTGTAAGAAAAACTGTACCATTTTCACTTAGATTCTGTTTCTTCTGGAGACAGAGAGAGATCTTCAGTCTCTACAAAGCATTATTTGAAGCAGAGCAGATGAATATGGGACAACAACAACAACAAAAAAAAGCAAGAGTCCAACAAATTTAATGTAGACAAAATAACATGAAACAGCAACCAAAAAAATCATGAATTCCTTCTTTCTTTTTACAAAATACAGACATGCATGTCTCACCAAAGTGCTATAAGTGTGTAAGTGCTATAAAGAGAAGAGATATTGAGGCTTTAGAAAGTAAAAAAAAAAAAGAAAAAAAGAAAATAGCATGAATCTCTTACCAAGAACCAGATTCCAAACTGGCTCAGAAGGCGTTGATCATGCTTGTCATCATCTTTATTATCAAAGTCTGTGTTGTCCAAGGAGTGATGGGAAGAAGAGAGGCCCATCTGCCTCCTGCGGTTCAGTTCATGCTCCCTCTGCTCAGCATGGAACTCTGCTTCCTTCAGCAAGCTGTAAAACAGGTCTATGGTCAGTGAATATAGTTTTTCTGTACAGGATACAGGTAGATGACTAACAACACTTAGAGTTTAAATCGCTTGATGTCTTTGTTTTCCTGAGCATATTAATGAAATAAGAACCATTCCTATGATTCCAGGCAGAACTACTCTATGAGGACAACTCTCTCAGTTCATCTGCTAGAGTGGCAGGAGTTCAGCACTGCTGCTTTGAACTTATCTGGGTGAAACTAGGATCAATTTGCACAAGATATGCAAGCCATGTTTACACAAAGGCCAGACCCTACGTTATATATTGACATTTAATTATATCAGCTGCCATATTACCTGATGACAGCTTCTACGGTACACACGAGCTCCTCTGCCCCGCACTCCCGGGTATTGATAGGGGGTGGGGAGGTCTGGTAAAGATGAGTTTCTGCTGCTGCCCCAACTTCACTGCTGTGGTGGTTCGAATGGCATCTTTTGCAGTAGCGAACCGGCCTGTTGCCATGGCGGCCACAGCAGCCTGCTGAGAAGCAGGTGACAACAGCCCTCCTGACATGTGAGCTACAGTTCTGGAAAGTGAAAAAGAGAGAGGCGTATTTGGTGCAGGCATCAAGAAGCGGAATCAAAAGCAGTGGTGAGAATCAGCACAGGAGAAATGGTTCAAGTGTTGGCTGTTTCCAAATTCACTACAGCTGTATAGAAACTCCTGATGCCAAGTGTCGCTGAAGTTCGAGGGAGATGAGCTCAGGTCCATCACTGGGCCTGGACTTAAATGTCATGGTTGCTCTTTTTTTTAGAATGGATCAAACCAACATTTCAGTCAAACTGCACTTTTTGGCTTGAGCCCTGAAAAAAGTTTGCTTCTCCCCACTGCCAAAATGCATTCATGGATACACTGTGAAAACTTGAGAAAATAAAACAAAAAGACACAATAATGGAATGACATTACACACAACATCAAATCATGCCTCATCACACAAATGAATACTTAAACTTACCTTCTTCTGACATATAGCAGAAATTTCAGCTGTAAGGAGAAGGCATACAAAACATCAACACAGAATTGACGATCCTTCTGTTTTACTATGGCAACCATAGGGAAGTGGAATTAAATGGAGTCATTACAAGGAAGTGTCCAGTGCTAAATTTGTGTTTCTAGATATTAATAAAAATCTCTAAGCTTCTTTGAATGCATGAGCTAGGATGCTGTATCCTGAGGCTTCCTGACTATTTCTATGCTGAAATGAGAGAACGGCCTCAGAGTAGTAATAGGTGTGACGTGCTTGACATCCCGTCCACCTTCTGCTTATGCTTCTGCCTCACAGATGGGCTTGTAACAGAAGGTCTCTTGGGATGCTAGTAAGACTGGGATGCTGGGGGAGACACTGCTCAGGTGGGTTCACACTACCAGGGAAAGTTTGCAGGATGGAAGATGGGTGAGTTTGAATTAACAATGTAAGGATGGGTAAGAGACACAGTGGAGTATAACTCCATACAGAAATGTTTGAAGATTTAATCAGTAGGCAATAACTATTCAGTCTGTTACCCCTGCAGTAGCTAATTCAGTAAACATGAGTGCTTGAATAAAGAGAAATACTTCCATAACTAAAGGAAATGCTGCAAAAGTCTACACTGGATTTCAATTAAAAGGAGAAAAAACAATCTCCAGCACTCAAGATTTTTCAGTTTGCAGAAAAAATGACAGGAAGTACCTTTGTTCAATCCTTGACAGGGTATTTTATAGAATATGCAACTTGTAAAGGTAAGGAATTCCAATCAGCCTATCAACAAGCTTTGCCTGTAGTTTAGCTGCTAACAGCAGTATTATGTTCTCTGACTGCTCGAGGACCTTTTTTTTGATACCTTTTGCAGCCTTGTGTTGTTAGGATAGATTCTCAGAAGCTTTAAGAGCTTTAGAATCATAGCCAGGTTTCTAGAAGAACTAGCCATTTTCAGACAAATAATTCAAAAAAATCTGTCACCAGTTGTGGATGTTTGAAGATTTGAAAATCTGTCCAGCTGTCTCTCTTTCCTCATATATGAGGAAATAGTATTACTTAATTCAGGTAGGGGACTAGCTGCTAGTTATTTTTTTAATACAACTTTACAGACATAGTCAGCCTTCAATAGAAGCCACTTTAAAATCCTACAATATCCCTTTAAAATATAAAATGCAGCATTTCAAATGATATAGTATGCAGAAATGTCAATAAGCACCAGGCTGTACATTTATGATTAATCTGCACCTATTTTTAAAACAACTCTTACCTTGTGGCAGAAGAACATCAATCAACCATTCACTGTGATCCCTTAAAAAAAAAGAAAAATTATCTCATTATCTTGCCATTGCTTTATTTATGCATGCATTTACTTTTGCACAGAGGGAAATTATCTAACAATGTGGTAGCATTGACATTATTCTGAAATAGCTTTCCTACAAACATAATTTTTAAAAAATGTATGCTGCTTTACATTATCTGTCTTTGTTGTGCCCTGCTTATTGCAAATTATCACTGTACTGGGGTTGGTCCATCGTGCTGAAGGCTTTTAAAAATTACTTCTAAGGCTTTAATTTAGCAAATGAAAATCCTCTGTGTCCTGAGTGTCTGGGAAATAAATAATGACAGCAAAGAATGATATGTAAACATGGAAAAAGTTTTACCAGCATCATTTTCTGTGAGTCTCCTTAAAAGCTATGCTTCTAGCAAATTTAATTTCTTTTTGTTTTTTGAAGCTTTAAATCAGCAATGACTTAAAAATCAAGATGACTTCTATGAGATGTAATTGCTTTTCCTACAGCTGGTGTGAGAGAGGGTGTCTGCTAAACCAGGTGTCCGCTTATCTTCTTCCCCCAAAAAACAGGCAAAGTGAATCTTCTGAACTAACTGCAACCTTGTCCATTTGAACTAATGATTATTTGGAAATCCCTTTGAGAATTAGATTTTGTAAATTTGTGCATACCAAATAAGCAGTATAAAAATTTAGGTTAATTTATCTCAGAATTTATGACTCTCATGTATGAGACAAGTCTGAACCAGCTTCAATTATTTACTCTGCTATTTCACAGTAGAGACTAGAGAATATCCAGAAGTAATGAAGTCTTTGTAAAAGACCTTTCACTGTAATGCCTTGCTTTTAATGACCACTGAAGGATGATGAAAGGAAGCATTTTAGGAGCAAAAGGTTGTACAGTAGAGAGGTTCCCCTAATGCAGTCAGTGAATCCCACAGTATCAATTCATTCAGAAATTTCACATAATTCATTCAGCCTTTAAAACTCTGCTGTCCGAGATAATGCTGATCTTGCTGGGCGAGTTTCCATAACCCTTTCTCAAATACGGAGGTGGGAGGTGGGGATGTCCACAGGGTCAAAAAAATCACAAAAAAATCACAGGCTGTCATACTGAAACACTCTACTGCAGCGGACTGCTTCAAACTGCGCAGTTGAACAGAATACACCCGGCCTTTTTCCATCTCCTATTTTACCTACCCTGCAATTCTCTGGCTACATTCTTCACAAAGATACAGGGGAGGGGGTTTATCACCCAAGGCCACAGACAAGGAAGGGTCAATGCACATCTGAAACACAGAGAAAAGGAATTGATGCATCCGTCTGTGGAAATTCACTGAGGCAGTGTTCAACACATTCTAGCTATAAAATACAACACAACACAGCTTAGGTCATTTTTCAGAATATTTGGTGTTCCAGAGGATGGTACTCAAGGACCTGGCAGCACAGGATCTTAAATTATTTCTGCCAAAGAGAAGTATATAGCTAAAAAGAAGAACCTATGGGAAGAGAAGAGGGCATGTTCCAGAATCACTGTTTTCACTCTCTGAATTAAAAGCATATTCTATATGGCACATTCACATTTACTTATATTTCACGGTCACTATTGGTTTAGTGGGTTCTCCCCACTCAACAAAAAAAGACACTTGGAGGATTTACTGATTAGAACTTGGTAAGATGAAAGTCTAGATTTCTCTACCTCATTGACACCTCTTTTGACAAAAAATTGATTTTGCTATTACGGTTATTATCTATACAGCATAACTTTGGGGACAAAATGAGAATTATGGACCCTCAGCAGCATAGGCTGCTATTTTCCAAACTCAGTCCTCTGTGTTAGATTAGCTTTATCTTCCTATGTGTTCGGCAGTTACCTAACAATATGAACATACACATTTGGTTAAGTGCTTTGGATTGTTTAAGGCAAAGCTGAAGAGCAGTATGCATACACAACATCTTCACTTCTTTCTATTAACCACCCAAATGCTTTCTTGGTCCACCGAGGGGCAAGATCTTACTTGTAAAGGCAAATGGCTCACTTGATGTTTCTCATCTTTGCTAATCAGATTTCCATTAATCTATGCAAGAGACAACAGGCTGCATTTGATCTACTACTACAAAGACAAAACTGTTGTCATACAAAAGTAAGCTAAGAAGCCACTCAAAATATTTAAATATTTCATCTACTAAGCTCGGAACTGTAAGATTCATTGGCATTTTGTTCTCCTTGGTCATTAGCCTGAATCTAGCGATCTTGAGGACATGAAGCAACACCTTTCAGGTTTTTACTTAAGGAGTAGAAATGGGATCACAGAGAATGTCTGGAGTGGGAGGAGTTGGTCCCCTGTGGGACCTGAGATCTCACATCACCATCATTCCTATCAGAAAACGCTCCCTGAATAACTTTGACTCATGGAATTATATCAGCATTTGAAAAGCGCCAGGAACAGCGGTCAGATCTGCAAACCTAACTCAGTTCAAATCCGACAGAACCAGCTGGTACTCCCAACAGCAGTATGCTCCAGATTTGGGATGCTATTCTGCCCTCTGCCTCTGGACTGCTCTATGATCCTGGGCAAACCATTTTACTTTTTGTCATCTTAAGTGAAAACAGGGAAGATATCATTTACTTCCTTTAAATGTGTCTATGAAAGAGGCAAGTAAAGCTATGTTGCTCTTTGCTACAGGGTCCATTCCAAGTAAAGAATCACAGTCACAGCTAATAGGCTTTGCTTCAGTTTCAAGAACCATATGACCACACTCAGATACCAATGTACACATGTACCTCTAACTGTCATAAAATATTATATATGTAATATCATCTGCACAACACACACAAGTATATTAAGGAAAATATTTATACTAATTAGCTAGAATCCAGCTTTGAAAAGTCCAGAACATATTCACAATGTTCTGGTGCCTTTGGCCCCATAGGCCATGCTGTTCCCTTAGCACCTACACCCTCGGCCACCTGCCTTTAAACAGGGCATACGGCTGGGCTCAAATCTCAGCAGTCAACCCCCAACCCCCTGCCAAAAACAGCAGTACCTTTACAGCTGGTTTGTTAATTGCATTATGGCACTCAATGTGCTGGCAGTGAATAGGATTCCAGGCTGCAAAATTGAAACACAGCAGATTAATGAACACAGACATTTGTATTCTTTATGACTAGTAGTACCAAATCCTCTTGCACTAAGTGCTATGCAAATATAGCAGGCAACTTAACCATATACCTTATGAAGCATAATAATTATAATAAACAACCTAGATTATACATGTCCTCTGACCTGATAGAGATTTAATTATGAAACCAAAGAAAAGGAAAAATTTAGACACCAACACAGCCCTTTTTACTCCTTCCTGCATCTAGCAGATCCTGAATTAGTTAATTACCATTCCCCTCCAGGAGCAGGATAACAGATGTAGCTCAATACATGTAAATGCTAGGCAGTATGCAAACATAGGCATGAGAAAAGAAAAACACTCCAGCTAGGGAAGAAGTCTGTAACAACAAGAAGTAAACAACAAAGGTGCATTCGAGCAGCATCACTTGGATGCTGCATGGAGGTCCCAAAAGCCAAAGTGACAGGTGACTGCAGAAAACTCAAACTTCACTCTGGGAAGCATCAACAGAGAGTTTATATAAAGATTTATATACATAACCAGTCCCTAACCAGGGCTGGTTAGGGTCAACTAGAATATCATTCTTCCTTCATAGACCTGTCTGCATGAAAAGATGATGCAGAGTAGTACAAAAAGAATTACTTAAGAGAAAAAAATAAATAAGAATCAAGAAAGATCAATCCTTCAATGGAAGGCTTTAGTAAAGCTTTGACAGATACCTATCAAGAACGTTCAAGGCATATATGAACCAGGTTCAAGTTGACGTTTACAACTGAAGTTGCTCTAGAGATTATCCTAAGATCCTTTCCACTCCTTCATTCTTACCATTTTTAAAGCGGTCTTATAGTGCAGAAATTTCACGAGTAAAAACCATATCCCAAATGACAAAAAGTACTTAAAGCGCAGAGCTAGGCGGGCTGGAAAAGCCTGCAAGCTGCAGGACAGTGACCTCCTCCCCACCACCAAGAGAAGTAAAATCCCATCATTATCAGCAGGGAGTTGGGTACTCAAAGGACCTTGTGCCACCTCCCCCTCAGCTCCAGCTGTCTCACTGAATCTCTCTCTCATTCTCACTCTATATTCAGCCCTGGGAAGTTATCCATTAAACTGACTGCAACTGACACCACCTGACTTTTTTGACAATAACAGTCAGATAAGGAGTCTTAGCAACAGCAGCAGCAATAGCAACAAGAGCAATAATTGAAAGGCAATAAGACAGAAACCTTGTAGAACTGACAGTTTTATGAACCATTTCAAATGTTGGAATTATTTCTTCTCTTTTTTTTTCTTTTTTCTTTTTTGCTTTGGTTTAGTTAGTATTAGAAGTAACACAATATATTTACTGGCCATGATCACAATTGTTATTTTCTGTAGCATCATCTTCTGAAATCACAGAAAAATGGCTACTGTTTGCACTTAAGAAAATACAGACTTACAGCACAAAAGATTTCAAAACATATCTTAGTTATAAGCATCTTACATTAAAACACTATAACTTCCTATATAATATCTATTTTGGCATATATAAAAACATCTACACTCACCTGTGTACTGAAGGCCTCTGTACTCGCTGATTGCCCCAGGGGGTTTTAAATTGGGCCAGTAGTGAAACAACATTTGTACAGCTGGAGGTTTAACTTGAGATGGGCCATAGGCTATTACATACAACAGATCCTAAGCAAAGACAGATACAAGGTGTTTACTTTGCAAGATAGGAAAACATAACTCAATACATACTATTTATGTTTGTAAAGACACTTAAACACAAAAACATACATTTTACATCCACCAATCACCCTTTTAAGCTTTTATAATTAGCTTTTACAAATTTCAACATAAAGAATGTAGCACAACAGGTTTCTGAGTTTGACTGGGACATCCACCAGCTACCAGCAGCTCCACACACATATTTTATAATGATATAGAGCAAATGAAGCCTTTGTCTAGCAAAAAAAGGGGTAATTTGGATAAATAACTAGATCCTGATCAGATTCAAGCTTAGATAACACCCACAAAGAGCCCTCATAAAAGCTCAGTCCCACATAAATGTAGAAGATTGGTTATTAATGGTTATTAAAATGTTTATTACATTTCTGCCAATTGGAGCCACATCCAACCAGAGCTGTATTGCACAAAAGATGAAGCTGCTTCTGCAAACTAAAATCTGAGGGACCTTCCTCTACATAACTCAGAAGGAGAATGGTTAAAAAGATCACCCACTACTTCCTGGCACACTGTTAGTCCATGTTTCAAAGCATCTGTGTTTGCAGTCCAAATGATCACAAACTTACTTTCCATACTTCTTGCTTATATTTCATGAGGCATTCCAACAACTGGCAGTGATACACTGAGAGAGAAAAGACAGTATAGCCATAATACTGAAATGGAAACTCAAGTTACAGAAGTGGTGATCAGCAGAATGGTTTTCCTTTGTCAGTCCAAAGCTCTATGCTCGATTTAATTACTTTTTATTTTATAGGGTGTGCTAATAAATAAAAGCTGTAAGTAGATAACTAGTCACTCATCCTGAGACAGCAAAGTACATGTTAATGTACAGCATGAAATGGAACATCACTACCTTGTAAGCTACAGGCTCTAGGAGCCACTCTGCCACAAACATGCTGGCCAAATGAGCCACTAAACACCTTTTTGACTTCCCAAAGCCACAGGATCAAATTTTCCTGTGATAACTGAGAACTGGGAACCAAAAATAGATCATTTAATGAAAAAAAAACCCTATCTAGAGCATAAATAGCTTTTTTAAAATGTGCTTTTATTTACTGTTGTGTTCTAAATCAGCATGACATTGTTCTTCTCATGCACACACAGCTGGGGGAGACGAGGCTTCACCTACCCCCAGATGAATACCTAAAAATGGGAGATAGTTGTCTGCTGTGAAATACAATTCCCTCTGATTAAATTATTCAGTGTGTAACTGCACTGATTAACCGGGGCTGCACCACAGTTAAGACAGAATAACATTTGCATTCAGAGATTTCTAATTACAATTAAATTAATTATAGTTATATTCTCAGCCTGCAGCCAGCATTACCTGTCTTTTTCCAAAAACAGTGCTTGTTGTGAACTTGGGAGCATTTGATTTGGAGTGTAAGACAGTTAAACAGCTTCTGCGAGTCTCTATAATCAAAGTTAGTGCTGTTTTCTCTCAAACACTGATGCTATAAATCAGCATTATGTTTTGATGTCAAGCAAACATAGTTCAGAGTCTCTAATCCTGGGTCCAATACTATCCCTTCATGCCCCTGGGATCTCTTACTGGCATAGTAATTACTTCAAACAATATGCTTGGAAATGCCAGTTTTGACTAGAATGCCTTATTTTCCATCTTGCATTAGATGGTGAGACAGATTTTCTCATCAATTTAATTTTACAGGTGGTGGAATATGACATAGTAAATACTACATTAAACAACTCATAGCTTTTGCAAAGAATGACACCATGTTGGCTATTTACACATACCTGGGTTTGATGTGTACTGCATTGCAATCATTAGCATTGATGATGCAGACAGATTGACATGAGCTGGAACACCTTCCCTTTTTGAGGATCCCACTTAAAACAAAGGAAAAAGAAAAAAGGTAAATTAAACAAGAATATCATATAATTCTGATTACAACTGATGCAAATAAAATTTCCATAGTATCACATTCTATATTCTAGTGGGTGAAAACTCTTTTCTAGTGAAAGAAGAGATACCTGAATATAATATTGCCTCACACAGCATACACTTCATTTCCCAGACTCATAAGACTTTTTTCTCAGAGCTCCATTAACAAGGACAGTGATCATCTCACTTCATAAACCCACAGACAGGTCAGAACAATCTTACTCATAGAGCCGCATGCACCTAGGAGCTGGATCTTACAGAAAGCAAGAGGAAGTAGTATAAGGAAACAAGAAAATTGGAAGGCATGCTCTTGAGGTAGATGTGAAGTTTTGGGGCTGGTGACAGCTGCTGGCTCTTGATATAGGATACAGATGACTACTTGGGAAGTCTATGTCATGAGTTCAAGCTATAGTATAGCTATATACAGGAAAATCTAGTTCCCTTGTTATGTTAACTGTGTTAAGGAACTGAGGAACAGTAATATTAAAGCACAGCTAAGCTGCTGTGGCTTTGACCTCGCACATGAAGTGGCTGGAGTTCCTGCTTATGTCTTGTTCACTCGTTACTACCAAGTAACATAGTTCAAAAAAATATATCAGAGGGTAGGTATTTATTTCCAGAACAATAACATGACATTATTGCTTTGAAGGCAACCTTCTACAGAGGTGTGACATGTCCTCTCCCACCCTCATTCTTCAGCACTTTCCCAAGCCTGCCTACCAGGGTCCAGACAGAAGCCAAACTCAAAGAAAGGCCAATTGATTGCATGCAAAATCTAAGCAGAATTGCTTGAGAAAAGACAGCATAATAAAGGTTGCTCTCAGTTATCTGGATGCTACCTCTACTAAGGATAACTAGGGAATAGGCTCTATTAACAAAGGATTTGGCTCAATTGGTTGTTCTGGAGAACAGTTCTATAGATCTGAAGATACATACAACAGAATAAATCACGTACATTAACAGATGACAACACTGGGGAGAAAAGGAGATTAATGCAACATTAACACAAAGAGGATCTACTGCACAACTGTATGAAAAATCTGTAGCATTTGCATATTGTTAATAGACCTTTCACCATAGCTAACAGAGAAAACCTCACTGAAACATCTTACAAGGGACTATTTTACATGAGTAAACTGAAGTCCAAAACAGTTAACATCTTCTCCAAGACCACCAAGTGGTGGAGCCAACAAATGTAGGTGACAAATTTCCACAGAATCTTATTCTACAAAATCTGGACCATGCTTCTTTCCATGTTCTAACAGCATCCTCCATGTTCAGCACTGACTTCAGTGTAGATCTCAGTACAAAAGAAGTTCATGTTTTTCCATAAAGGTCTAGAATGTAAATAAGAAGACATCCTGACAGAAGCACAGAACAGTTAAGATTGGATAGGACCTCTGCAGATCATTTAGTCCAATCTCTCCTGCTGAAAGTAGGGTCAGCTAGAGCATGTTGCTCAGGACTGCATCCAGAGCAGAGCACATCCAAATCCCAGTCAGACATAAAAGTTACATATCACAGTTGCTCAGTCATTTTAGAAGCACTCTGTCCATTGACTCTGCATTCAGGACTTCGACTACTGCCACTGGAAGCTCTGTGAGCCTCAGAATAATGCATTTCTTAAAGAAGTTTAATACCATCCTTTAAATGAAGAAAAAGAGCAGTAAAAGAGCATATTAAATAAATAAATACATCCACAGAATCATCTCCCTCAGAAAAAGTCACCTGGAATTATTCTTGTATATACATAAGGTAGATCAAAGTCCCATTACAACTCTATGACAAATCAAACTGATTCTTGTCTGATATTATTATAGCAGTGTGCCATTTTCTGAGACAGAACAACACCAGAACGAGTGCTACTTACATATAGCCATAGGCAGAAAAGACGTGCTGAGATACTCTATTATATCCTTGTGTAGAAATGGAGGAAAAGTAGCTAATGTTGAAATCATTGTATAAGGTAAAGTACTCAAAATATCATCATTGAGAAAAGGAAGTAAGCATGTAGTAGTGTAAAAAATTGATTGCCCAAGATCTGTCAAATAAAATGAAATAAACACAGAATCATTACATTGAAAAAAATAAGGATAACCTTATTTATAAACGTGTTTGGCTTACAAATCTACTAAAAAATTTTAAACTTAGATTCAAGCTTTCTCCTCAGGTTATTTCAGAAATTTAACTACTACCGACTAACAGCCATTTTTAAGCCCCTCCTAAGAGAGAGGGAAACATCTGTTCAACGGTACTTGGAGCAGTTTGGAGGGAATATGAACACCATAGACAATAAATTTAGCTCCTCTACATACACAAGTCTAGATTTAAGTAGAGGTTTTATTAGAAATAATTAATTGGGTAAGAAGTTGATAAGTAGTTTAGTATCAAACTGCTCAGGCCCACTTTTGCAAAAGGCATCCCTGTCATCGGATATCAGATTTTGATCTTAATTATCCTTGAGAGAGCTGAAAAACACTCCCTACATGGACACTCTGACCCAGAGGATTGATGCAAAAGGAAGCATCACTGTATTTTTCAGATAACATGCGACTGAACTGTGAGACTTGCTTGCACAGTAAGCCATGGAGGCCAAATATGGCCAAGGCTTAAACAGAACTTCCAGAACTGTCCAGAATTTCCAGATTTATTCTAATTAATTATAAGCTTTGGAAGAGATACTTAAGAAAAGTACAGCTTTAATATCTACATGGAAGGGGCAGATGATTGCCTGTCTGGCCACTGTGGCATCTTTTTACTCTCTATCAAATGAGAAACTGAGTGAGGAAAGCTCCATAGCCCTCGGAAAAAGGCTGCAGACCTAACGAACATGAGGCTGGAACCTGTACCACTATTTTGGCGCATCACAGAGCCTTCTCCCTGCATGAGGACAATTTCTTTTGTTATTGACTCTCTGCAACTTTAAGCCTGCAGCCTTAAAGTTCTTATAACCAGGACGATCTATAGCGGTATTTGTAAATGCTTGGAGATCTACCTATAGATTTAACATCATATGCATTACAGTAAGTAACCACTCCATTTGCTTGTTTCTTGCAACTTTTCTGTGTAATAGTCAGACCCTTAATGCTAGAGAGCATCTCTCTCTTGCTATAGATATTTACCATATTGCCAACTTTGTAGAATCCATCTGGTGAGCCGGATGTACTTACCCAACAATATTGATTGTTCTGTTAAAAAAAATACTTTTCTTTTAATCAAATGCTATGCTGAGGGAGGAACAAATAACAAATTGTGTCATAAATTGCAAGTCACTGTACAGAGAATGACAGGAAATACAAAGCGACCTCTCTTTACCCCAAGTATGAGTCAACAAAATTATTCCTGGCAGATATTTACCTAATCTGTTCTCAAAAGCTGGCAAGATTGAAAGCTTCACACCTTCTCCAGGCAATTCATCCTAGCGCTGAACTATCTTTACAATTAAATTACCTTTTTTTAAAAAATATTTATTTCCTTTCTTGCAGTTAGAGTCTACTGTCTCTTATCCTGACTCTAAGTGATCCTGGAGAATAATCTCTTACAATTTATTTCTCCTTGCAGCAATCCTTATATATTTGCACCTGAGTATCATGTTTTAATCCTTTTAATCCTCTCCTAAACAAACCAAGTTCTTTCAGGCTTTTCTCACTGTTCAGGTGAGTTTTTCTAGACCTCACATCTTTCCGATTCTTTTTCTTGGACTTCTCTCTTTCTCGAGACTAGAGGGACTAATTTGAACATTTTATTCCAGCCAAGGCTTTGCTAAGGCTGTCAGAATAAAATAAAATAAAAAACACCTTAGTTGTCTAATACACAAATATTCCCATTTACGTATTGCTAGTATGATATTAGCATATTAGTGATTTATGATCCACAATAACACACAGAGCTTTCTGCAGTATCGCTTTCAAGTTTGTATTCTCCTAATTCAATTCTGTATATGATTTCTCTCACTTAAATATAGTACTTTACATTTGTCCTAACTGAACTGAAGACCTTTTAAAATGGAATGCAATTTGCCAAGATCATTTTGAATTAGATTTCTTTCACCCACAGGACATGCTATTACCTCCATCTTGATATCACCTGCAAATCTAAATGTTCTCTCATTTCCATCAGCCAAATAATAATAATAATAACAACAACAATAACAACATGAAAGCTAACATATAATCCTGTCAGAAACCCACTTGATATATTCTTCCAGCTGACATGGCCACTGGTGATTACTCTTGGAGTGTCTTCCCCACTCAAGTGGGAACCACGCATCCCCAGATTGCCTATCACAATGCCAAATAACACAGTAACCAAAGCCTGGCTGAGGACAAGAAAACCCCACCAGGACGACCACTGTGCTGCCACGAAAGGAAATTATGTTTGTTCAAGGTTATTTGTCCTATACAGGTCTCCATTTGATGTTAAATAACATCATGTTACCTACTTTAAAAGCGTTTTGATAATTAACTCCATTATTTTTCTAGAAATTAAAGTCAACAATTCCCCACAAGCCCCTCTTTTCCAAGATCATACCATCATTACCAGGGACAGCAGTCTTCTATCCAAAATATGATATCCAAATACCTAATATCCAAAATATGCTGACAATTC